CCATGTCCATGTCCAATGTCCGCAATTAGGTAGCCCCAGCCCCCCATCATAATCTATGGTTAGTGTTATGGCCATTGTTATTATAAGTGTTATCGTTATGGCTAAAATATTAAAAAGTCTTAGGGAAGAAACTGCAGTGCCAGGCGGTTCAACGATGGATTTGGGAAATCAATGAGAAGCAAAGGTGTTTAGTGATGGAAATCTAACAACTTTCTTTTACTAATAAGGAACTTATTACGACCTTTTTTAACTCTTTTAATTTCTTCAAAGAAATTGCTTAATTACTTTCGTAATTCCCCTTTAAAATTAATTTACAAAATAGAGCTCTCTTAGCTTACACCTTGGCTAACTTTTCACACTTGAGACCTCGATCAATGCAATCGATCGATAATTATCGACAGCTGTGCCAAATTATCAATCACTCTCAAGTCACTACTATTTCACGATAGTTTATATATATTTTCTCATATTTTTTCTATATATTTTTTTTCGTTTTGATGGCAATTTGCAACCGTCGTTTTTGGGCCAGTGACGAAACGCACAAGAGCAGTAGAAACAGCACCAGCAGCAGCAGCAGCGGCGGCGTTTAAAGTTATTAACCCAAAAGCAATTATTAATAACAATTACAATTGTTTGCCTTTGCACTGGCATTGGTTTCGAGCCAGTCGTGAATCACGTTGCTGCTTGTTGCTGGCCAATTTGCAATGGCCAACTACAGCAACGGCACCATGGCACTTCTCTACAATGTACTCTATGTACTCTATGTACTCTATGTACTCTATGTACATATATTACAATTAATTAAATTAACCAAAGAAAAAGTAAAGGAAAGGAAAAGCAAACAGAAAAGCATATAAAGAAAAACTTGAAATACGCGCATAAATTCTGTCCACTTGTTGTTGTTTCTCTCTTTTTGCGGCTTCAACTTTCTTGGTGGCATTTAAATGCGCTGCTAATAGCAAACAATTTAATTTATTTATTAGACGTTAGTTTCACTTTTCGAGCATTTCACCGGCGACATTAAAATTTCACACACGACGCTAGCCGGCCAATCCTATCTCCCATACTCAACACAAAACGCGAAAGTTGTGGCCCACCAAACGGCTAACAGAGGAGGGGGACAGCAGCAGCAGCAGCAGCAGCAGCAGTAGATCAAGATACTATATATGATAAATATTTAAACTGCAGTATGCCATTTATGTTTATGTTTATGGCAATTAAAAAAGTTAATGCCAACGCCTGAGAATCATATTAGTAGCTGAGAGCCCAGCCCAGCACAGCTCAGCTCAGCTCAGCCCACTGAATGACATCGAAAGGTGATGGAAATTTATGCCGCCATCCAGAGTCAAGCCAAGAGCTGCGATGAGATCAGATCAGTTTGGCAGAAGACACTCCCTCAACTAGTCAATTCTTCGCACAAAATCTTTTGGCATGAAATCACTGGGGCAGCAGAGGCAGAGGCAGCCAAGATTAGGTGCCACTTTTCGCATTTGAGTGGAATAAAGATAAAGATAAAGATAAAGATCGGTATTTATGGAGAGATCAAAGATAAGGTTTTTAAAAATATTTACCATGACTAATTGGTAGTATAAATAGGTAAAGAAATTGAAGAATTTATAGAAGAAGAATCTAAACGTAAAGCAGCAATAAAGTTTACTAAAAATTTCCCCTTTCTTATGGATCTTTCCAGACCTTTTCCTTCAACATTTTCCCTTCATTATTGAAAAACCAAACTAAAATTTATTCAGTTTCTTGTCAAAATGGATTTGGCATTGCTTGGCAACTTGCTTGCTTGCGATGCTCGTCACTCTCGTCGTTGATTTACATATGGAGTGCATGAGTACCTGGCAAGGCCATTGACAGCTTTTGCGCAACAGCCCAGCCCACCTACGTGCCAGGGAAATAAGACCAACACATCAAAATCAAAAATAACAAATACAGAAAAAAAAACCTTAAACAATATATAAACAAAAGCACCGAAAAAGTTGCGTAAATAGGTGAAGTTGAACATGCTTAAGTATGGACTCTTAAAACAATTTGCCAGACACTGTCACCCGCATGGGCAACATCATCATCATCATGATCATCAGTAGTATTACTCTTGTAATCATCATTATTGAGTGCCTAATGAGTGGCAGTTGAAAGTGAAAACATTGGAAGGTCTAGCTGTCCCACGCACTCTGCTTGTTTTTCCAGAAAACCAGAGAAAAACTTCCTACTTCCTTGTGGCAAAAGCTCAGGTCTTATGTAAAAAACAAAAACTGGCGACCGCAAGGAGGCAGGCATGCGTGCACCACCACCACCACCACCACCACCCTTTCAAGCTTACAAATTGCTGCGGTTCATTGTGCAGCAATCGGCAGCAGATGGCTTGAGGTATCGTTTCACGTATCTGCAGCAAGGCAGTTACAAAAGGTATGAAGTACAAATAAGAGTATGAGTATTTGAGTTTGAGTATCTTTTCTTTGCAAGTTTCGCATTGCAATTAAGCGGGGCGCCTTGCTTCCGCATCTGCTGCTGCTGCTGCTGATGATGATTATGATGAGCTTGGTGGTCATGCATGCCCATCTCCATCTCCAAATCATAATCCATAGCCCAGCCCATACCCAGCCCATTCCTCATCATATTACGTTTTAGCCATTAGATGTTGGGCATGTGCTTGATCATCCCAGCTAACGATTCGCCATCTTTGCCTGGCACTTTTACTTTTCTTATTGTCAACAATACGAAGGAAAAGCAGCCGCAGCAGATATATATAAAACTTTCCCAACATTACAGATTTGTACAGATCTCAGTGCGCCTTGTGTTTTTCTTTTTCTTTCTTTTTCTTTCTCTTTCTCTCTCTTTGCCAACCTCTAAGAGCCAGACAACCCACAAACTAGTCGCAATTGTTGTCGCTTTTATTGTGGAATGGCGCTGGCGAAGATCATAAATTTTCTTTTAATTTCAGTTTCTGTATGTTCTTCGCCTTTGTCTGTGATTAATTTAACTTAATTTACAAGATTTTTCCGCCGCTGTAAAGCGGTAAAAGTCTTGAGTAAAAGTTAGCCACCGCCACCAATGCCGCCGCCGCCCTGAGCCCTTTTCCTTATTCACAATTTGGGTTCTTTGTGGCAATTCGATATGTTACAGGTAATTGAAGACGACTGACTACCGGTGACAGGTGTTTCTCTTACACTTTTTTTTTTTTTTTTGACCCAGAAAAAAGTATCAATACTTTGATATGGGAAAGGTGAAATTGTAAACTAAGTTTAACCTGAAAGTAAGTTTCTATATTTTTAAGTTTTTCTCATAAAAATATAAAAAGTAAGTTTACTTCTGCTGGAACTTTAACAAACAAAGTTCGTTGCCTAAGTCTTTTAATCCTACAAATTTCTAACATTTTTCTATCCCCCTTCCTGCCTAAGAGATCTTTCAATTAAGATCTTTAATCTCTAATCACATACACTCAAGCACTCCCATTTCCCCCTCAAACTGCACTTGCCACGTGCATATGCGGCCAGTTTGTTGCCCAAGTCTTTCTGAGCTGTGCCACATTTGGGTGTTGCCCCTCTGGCTGGCCGATTGTTTGCTGACCCAAACAAACATCCGTTTCCTGGCAAATGCCCAACTGGCACGCCCCCCTTTTTCGCCTCACTTTTTGTCGTCGCATATCCCACGAAACAATTAACCGGGCGGCAGAAAGCACTTGACGCAGTTTCAGCTTAAGAAGAAGACGAAAAAAAGAAAAAAAAAAAACTGGAACTGGACTTGGGAGTGGAACTGGTACTGGAATATGGTTAACAGTCCAGTTGGCCGATAGCCTGGACGCCCGTTTATTAACGTGGGAAAAATGCAAACGCAGCCGAATTAAAAATAATACAAATTATAAAAACCTTGTTTTTGTTTCGAATCAGAACCGGAAATCAGCAACAAAAACAACAACAACAACAACAAACATAATGTATGCAAAAACAAAAAACCAAAAATAAAATTAAATGTGAAATAAGTTGGAAAAAAAAGGGGATTCAGTTTTTGGTGTTTTTTTTAGGAGTGCCACGGCAAATGGGTGATGAAAATGGGCAACAAGATGAGGAGAAAGAAGAAGAAGAAGCAGAAACAGCAGAAGAAGAAGAAGAAGGAGAAGAAGCAGAGCAACAAGTGGGATCCACAACAAACGAGAACGAGAGAAAATTTGTTTGCTTTGGCTCCGGAGTGCCGTTGGTGCGGTTTTTTTTCTTCATAATACCCTAAGAAATTAGGGCATATACAACTTATAAGTCGATATAAAGTCTTGACAAGTTGTTAATAGAATATATCTATGGGATATCTAGTTAATAAATTATCTTTAAAGTTCCCACAGTTTGTAGACTTTAAAGTTCCCTCCATTTAGTGGCTATATAAATAAAATTAAATGCCTTTCCAGCTAGATCGCTTTGATGAATGTATTGTCTATCTGTCGGAAGATTTTCGGAATGATTTAAGAGCTAAGACCAAGCTAAGACCAGGCTAATTAAGCTTTCATAATTTATGCAAATGAGCTTGTGTTAAAAACCAAACGCCCTAAAAACGTTCCCACATGTCAAGGCTGTGCTGTTGAATGCGTTTTCTGAAGGTGTTTTCTTACATAGATGGCGCTCTCTAAATGTGCCAGCTAAATGTTTAACTTTTAAATAGTTAATTAGCGATATTAATCAGAAAATTGGAATACATTGCAAGGTATTATTACAATTTTTTAATATTTTAGAAATGGTTAATACAGGTTTTTAAGAAATTCGAAATAATAAAGCTTCTCCGGTAGAAAAACTTCTTCCACAAATGAGAAAGGAGCTAACCCTTTAAAGATAAATCATCAAGGAAAAATCTAACAAAGTTCTCTTAAAAGTTTCCCAATCCCTAAGATATATCCTCTTAAAATCTATATCCCCCTCAGCAACAAACACCCCAGGGTATCCGCTGGTCGTTCTAGCACCTTTCGCAGCACTTCTTTCTTGTTTTCGTCTTTCGCTTGACACACTCACCTATATTCTGCGACTGCGCCTGCGCAAAAGCCAGCGCCGACGCCAACGCCAGAGCCAGCAGCAGCGGCATTGGCAGCGACGGCTGCGTGCGATGCATTGTCGCTCTCTCGCTCACACCTCCTGTTAGGCGAAGTTCCTTTTTTATACTTTTTTAATTTTTCCTTATTAATTTTTTTAGGTTTTTTTTTATATTTTTTTTGGTTTTGCGGGATTTTTGAAAACCTTTTTTTTCGCACACTTTTGGAACTTCCTTGAATGATTTTTTTTAGCACTTGGCACGAGTTTGGGATTGTTTGACTTGCTGCCTCGACATGCCACAGGAAGTTCGGGGTTCGATTATTTATAAAAACCAAAAAAAAAAATAATTGTTGTAACTAATAATAATAACAGAACACACTGCACCGAAAGCACCGAACTTAAAAAAAAAAATAAGTGAAATATTTTTTTTTAGCAAAAACGCGACGCGATTTTCCGCTGAACGAACCGTTCGCTGGGAATTCTGCAGGGCAACTGAAGTTATTTCAAGTCGGCGATCGCGCACGAAGAATTCTTCGCTGGTTTCTCGGTCTTTCACTTTTCGCTCTCGCTCTTGCTCTTGCTCTCTCTCTAGAGATAGTCTCTCTTGCTTTTCTTTCTGTGGAAGTTGTTTTTTTTTCCCTAACCGGTAAGCGCCAAAAACTTCAACCGTCGCCTTGTGCAGCTCGAAAGCAACTGAAAGTTGGAGACGTCGCGCCGTGCGTCTTGTAAGCTTGTAAGCTACCTGGTTTTACCTGTCTCTGCCGCAGTCTCTGCCTCGGCCAGCGTCGACGTCAATGTCAGTTGCATGCGTGAGCAGCACTTGCTGCGCTTTTGGCAAGTGCCAACTGCCAAATACCGTGCCCCCTCCCTTCCTTTCATCGCCCCTTTTTCCAGCTATCACACAGCAAGCTGGCAGGCAGGCAATTCAGGGCCCGCTGCTGATCAATGGCCAAGCCAGGCCAATCGATGTTCTCGGGCCATCATCTCCAAAACGGTAATAACAACTAATACAGGTTATGCAACTGTAACGGGGCACGGACGCTAAGAAAGAAAATCAAAGAATATTAGTTAGCTAGCTTGGATAGAGAGGGGGTTTTAGGGGGGTTAATGGGGAGTTTTTGGTAGCATAAAATATAAATTTAACAAAATTCTAATCTATTACTATATATTATATATATATTCTAAGCTTATAACAATTCTTGCTAGTTTTTGGCTAAAAATCAATGATAAGATATATCTATTAAAATAATTTAATATATTAATATTAATATTATAATCATATCACAGAGAAATATGTTACTTTTGATGTCATAAATCCAGAATTATATTTATCTTACATCTGTTAATATTAAAAATAAGTTCTTAGTTTCCATTTTTTTGGATAACTTAAAGAATTCTAAGCTAAAAATTGATTTTTAAAAAATACTTTTAAGTTTATAGTCTTAGATTGCTTATTTGTAGACGTTTTGGTAGGAATTAGAAACTATTTCTTTGGTTTTTAAGAGATTTTTAGCATAAAATACACATATTTTTGTTTGGTTGCTTAGCTTATCAGGAAAAACTTAAAAACATATAGCAAACTGTGATAATTATGCTTACAAATTAAACATTTAATTTAAAGATAAGATCTCTATATAATATAAATAAGATCAATTCACATCATTGACTTATAGAACTTAAGCTTACAGGCTCTTAGAGTTTCATAGGATCTTTACAGTTTTACATGATCTTTACAGTTTTACAGGATCTTTACAGTTTTACAGGATCTTTACAGTTTTACAGGATCTTACAGTTTTATAGGTTTTTTTAAAACCTTTTACATTAACTTAAGTACTCTATCCTACACTACAAGACTTCTTAAAATATAAACAAAAATTCATCACAAAATCTTAATTAGATAAATCTTTCTTTCGCTGACATTTTGCCCCAGTGCACACCACTCTTCTTTCTTCCACCATCATCCACCATCATCTCTCAACTTCTATGTCTTGGTAAGTGGACCAATTTAGAAGAATTCCTCGCTGGATCTGGTCTTGGTAACCTGCTGGATATGTGTGGACCTGGAACTGGACGTGAACGGAGTACAAAGTAGAATAGATGCTGGAAATTGAACACTCTGGACATCCAACGTTGCACAATGCCGCACATTTGCATGCCGCACGAACGCGGTGCGCGGCTTGGTGGTAAGTAAGCCAAATGGTCAGAAAATTAGAGCAGCGAACAGAATCCAGATTCATGGATGCACTGCAGCATCCCAGTTTTTGTTTTTTTCCCATTTCTTAATGTCCGGCCAACGCACACATTTCGTTCGTTCTTTACGTGTGTGTGTGTGTGTGTGTGTGTGTGACACATGTGGGCCAAATGCAATATGCAAAATGATCCAGCCTTATATTGTAATGATCATCATCATGAAGCTCAGCAGCTGGCCAAGATCGAAGATCGATGAGGTGAGGTGAGGTGAGGTGGAGTCGAGTAGAGTGGGGCATGTGACAACGAATTGGGTTGCGAGCAAAGTGCAGTCGAGCATTCCAAACGATCTGGAAACTGGAGAAGACGACATCGTGGCCAGTGGCAGGGTGCTTCAGGCAAAAGGTAAGAGACTTGAGATTATTTGGATGTAAAAGATAAAGGAAGATAACGATAGATAGCTAGAATAGATAGATTTATACAGTAAATAAAGTATATATGTGGTTGAAATTGATTAAATATAAAAAACCGATCAAATTGATGGAAAAGATAAAGAAAGACTGGATAGATAAGTCGATGGTTAAGCTAGTAGATAGATAATTAGATGGTTCTATTCAGCAAATATACTAAACTATGAAATATATGTAGTTTAAGTGGCGAAATAGAGTGTATTATGATAATGAATCGTATGAATAATACCAATTAGATAGTTTTAATAACATAAATAGGTTAAATTATTAAATTACTATAAATTAGATATGGCTAAAGTGACAAATTAAGGGCTGCGATAACTAAAAAACTTAGTAAATATATAAGTTACATAGTTTTATCAATAAAAGTAGTAGTTAAAATTAGGGTAATACTATAAACTAAATGTGGTTAAAATGCCAACAAATAGTACATTATAATGAACAATCATATCAAATATATCCTTAAAACAGTTTTAATAACATAAATAGGTTCCAGCTAAAGGCCTTAGTTTCTATTGCTTTTAGCCAAATGTTAGCTCTTAATTGTAACTAATTGTTAGCCTTAGGTAAATAAATAAAATAAATAGGTTAAATTAGTATAATACTATTAGTGAGATATAGTTTAAGAGCCAAAATAAAGGGTACTATAATAAAAAAGCTTGGGAAATATATTAGTAACATAGTTTAAAGAATATAAAATAGGTAGTATAAGTATAATACTTTTGAATATATATATTAATTACATCGTTTTAATAAAATAAAAAGGTAATATTAGAGTAATACTTTAACATAAATGCGCTTAAAGTGTCAAAAAACAGTCTATTATAATAATAGCAAATATCAAATATATCCTTAATATTATTTTAAATAACATAAATAGGTTTACTATAAATTAGATCTGGCTAAAGTGACAAAATAAAGGCTAGTATAATAACAAAGTTTTAAGAATATAAAATAGACAGTGTAACCACACATACTTTAAAATATACACATTATTTACATACTTTTAATAATAAATATGGGTAACATTACTTAACAGTAGTAGAAAGATTAGTCTTAGATAATTTCTTGAAATACTTAATAGTTTGTAAGCCTTTCAAAGTAATAATTCTAGGTACATCTAAACCTATTTGCTTCTTGAACTAGAGGCCAAGGTTAGTTAGTTAGTTATTTCTACTAACAGACAACTTATTTGCTTTCAAAACTAAAAAAATATTACAATAGTTGGATAAATCCTTATGTGAAAGAGCTTTTTAAGGTACACAAATGATAATATTGCAAGATCCCACGAAGTAGAATAAAAACTACATAACTTATACAACAATAACATATCCCTTTAGACATAAAATCAAGATCATTTTCAGCTAGATAGATCTTACATCTAATCTAATATCTTATCTTCTAATCTACCTTCTTAAACATCTACAACTTCTTTATCTTTATTCACACACTTCCTCACTTTGTTTCCCATCCAAAATTTCCTCCTTTTCCTCACTCCGAAGAAGCTGAGATTTGTGTATGGCATTGATTGGCCCCCCTTGGGGGGACAGTTGAAATTTTTCGGTCATGTCAAAGCTTTGAGTTCACAGATTCCGATTCGGTTTCGGATTGATCCATGTTCGATCTTGCCAAACATCTCGCTTTGCCCCCCCGCCACACTTCGGGGTTAGCTAACATCGAACAGTGAAGTTGGCTTGTGGCAACATTTAATTAGAAAATCGCTGGTGCAAGTGGCTGCCTGGTGGTGGTGGCGGCGGCAGTGCTGCAGCCGGGATGTGGATGTGGATGCTCGATGGCTGATGGGCTTGGTCATGAAGCATCGTCTTCGTCGACTCCACAGCCGCCCATTGTTCCGCTTGCTTGACCAGCCGGCAAGCGGCAAGTACAACCAGTAAGTACACTGAAAGAAATGGAAATTGAAATGGAATAAGTTTAAATTTTGGATAATTTACAAGGAAAAAGGTCTTCAAAATTTAAATAAAAGTATTTATTAGAAGTAATCTTAAGTTAAAAATCTAGAAAAATTAAATTTTTGATGAATTTTTCCCAGAATTTTCCTGAGTGCCATAACTACTAACTTTAGCCACGTGCTACTGGCTCCTCCGCCTCCTTCTTCTCCTCCTCCTCGAACAACGCCCACCAGAGGCTAGCTGACTACCTAGTAGCTACTAGCAACCTAGCAACTAGCCAGTGGTTAGTGTGGAGTGACCGACCACAACAAGGAAATCAACTTGGCCAGGCAGGTAGGCAGGCACAGCACACACGCAACAACAAGTTTTCGGGGAAAAGCTGGGAAATAACCAACGGAGAGCTGGAAGAGAGAATCTAGGACGCAGCCAAGCAAAGCGAATTGCTGCATCTGTTGGGGTTTGCCCATCCATCCCTGCCCAACCGATTCCAATGGCCACCCATCCATCCATCTAACCATCCATCCTCCAACCCATTTCACCGCCACAGCCTCGCTTCATTTTCCATTTAGTGCTTTATTATTTTTTTAATTTCCAGCCGAGACTTCCGAGATTAATGTTCTGAGTCGCTGCTGCTGTTGCCGTTGCCGTTGCCCATGGGGTATTCCCTTTTTTGCCCCTTCCCTCTCTACAGCACCTTCTCTTGAGCAAATCAACCTTAGGCTTTGGCCCCTACAGCAATCATAGAAAACTTTGCTCTAGTTTGAAGCATTTGTTTTCCCGTTTTCTTGACTTCAAAATCTATACAAAACTAGTTCAGATCATGGCCCCAAAAAATTGTTAAAAACAAAGCCATGATGTGCTTTTGATTATGAAGAAACGAAAATTCATTTCGATATTAATGAATATTTTTTTGGTTTGATTTTGGAAAGATGAAAGGTGATGTGATGGGAGGGGATTTTGGATGGGAGTGACGACTTGGAGAAGGGGTTTAAGGGTTTAACTATATGGAGGTTTAACTTGGATTTAGTAAATTTAATCTAAAAAGAAGAATATTAGTTAAGGTTTTGATAAGATCAAGCACGTTTTTAACTTTTAAATCATTTGTGGAAGATTTTATTCTGATATATTAGATAGATATTAG